CTAGGAAAATTTATCTCAGTGAAAAGTAGAACTTTTATGGAGAGGACTAATAATGTGTTCACAGATTTTGTGGGGCAGGGGGGGGGGGGGGGGGTGGGTTACAAACAAAATGAAAACCCCATGATGTGAAGATGCTACAGTGGGTATACAGAATTGGCCTTTCAGGTTGGGTAGTTCAAGAGGTTCTGCCTGACGCTGGATATACCCTCTTATCTTATTAAAGATGCACATGCTGACTCAGTTTTAAATCTGACCAGGGAACCCAAACTTCAGGTCCACCTTGTACAGAAAACTTTCTGAGAAGTCACATACAAAGACTGGGAATGTTGCTCATTATTCTTATAACTCTTATAGCTCTTTTTTTCATCCTTTCATGTATTGTAGTATGCAAGGGAAGAGCCAGGTTTGGTGCATCTGAAGCTCAGACATATTTGGGGCCCAACTAAATAAAATAATACTAAATTATAAATACAGAGCCTTAGAAGGCATCTGTGCAAATGAGGGTCTCTGAAGTGGAAGCCTCATTTGCTTCGTAGTAAAATCTATCTCTGGTATATTATTCTAGCTAGATGTCTTTCTCCATTACTTCTAAATATTGTCTTTTTAAATGGCATTACCCTAAAACTAATACTGAGAAAAAAATTTAGTGGGTATTCAATTAATTTTGTTCACAGTGTTGTAATTAAAGGACGGGATTTTTTCATTTGTAAAAAATGTTACTTTTTAAACCTAATGGGAAATCATTTTCAAACATACTATATATCATAACCAAATACAAACAGGTCCTGAAAGGCTATCCCTCAGAGGTGATCACTGAAGAGAACTGAATCAAGCATAGAACTTGGTACTCCAATTTCAGGAACTCAGGAAGGACTCTGCAGTCTGACTAGATAGGTCAGGCAAAAGTGTGACAACAGCAAACCCCCAAATCTTAGTGTTTTATTCCTTGCTGACGTTTATGTCCTCTGCGATATGGTGGAGGGCTCTGTGTGGCCTTCATTTCTAGAAGGGGCTGTCCTTACTTGCAAAAATGCAAAAAAGGCTGAGGGCAAAGAGAAACAGAGGAACAACAGGAAGTTTGTTAGAAATTGCACTTGAAAGTGGCACATCACTTCTGCAAATATTTCATTGGCTAAAATAAGTCATAAGGGTATCAAGCGTTAGTGGGAGGTCTGGCCCCCTGGGGGACTGCCACAAACATTTCAAACAGAAATAAAATTTATGCAATACTTTTCTCTAGAAAGAAAACTATACAACATCTGCATCATCACCACCACCACCATCACAAACACCTCATTTATCTTCCCTCTGTGTCTAACATTTTTAAAGAATGGAGATTTATCATCAGGCTTTTACTTTTACTGAAAGAATTTCCTAGAGGGAAAATTTTTGTTTAAACCTAGTCTTGCAATCCAAAACAGCCTATGGTGGTGGGGGCACAATGCTGATCTCTGGAGAAAAAAGTAAAAGTGAGAAAAAAGTAAAAGTAAAAATTCAAAAAATTTACATAGATATTCTCTACCCTGAAGGAGGCAGGACTGACTCCCCACTCCTTATGTGTGGGTTGTGCACAGTGACTTTCTTCCAAACACTGTTTCAACCTGGTCAAAATCAACAGTGATAAATCATGTTGCTCATATGTACTTTCTATGATGTGCTAAAAAGGCACTTACCTCTATGATCTTCATTCCAAATCCCATAAACTCAGTCGCATCATGAGAAAAATGTTAAGACAAATTGTAAAAGCGGGGCACCCTGCAATATACTTGATCATTATTCTTGAAAACTTTCTCATTGTCATGAGAAACAGGGGAAGTCTGAGAAACTGTCACAGCCAAGAGGAGCCTGAGAAGCCATGATCACTAAATAGAAGGGGGGATCCTTTATGGAATCCTCAAACAAAATACAGATGTTAGGTAAAAACCTAGGGAAATATGAATAAGCTATGGATTCCAGTTAATAATAATGTATCAACACTGGTGGGCTGCAGTTCATGGGGTCCCAAACAGTTGGACACATTTATGGCTAACACACACACATTAGTTCACTAATTGTAACAAGAATACAGTACTAATGTAAGATGTTAGTAACAGAAAAATTAAGTGTGTATGTGGGGGAATATATAAGAACTCTCTACATTATCTTTTAAATTTCTCTAAAATATAGTCTGTTTAAAAAATTACAAGAAATATGAATGCAGTATCTATGTTCTCCCACTGTTCAGTTGTGTGAATGTGCTGTCGCTCAATTGTATCTGACTCTTGTGTGACCCCTGCTCAGCTGAGGAGAGAGTAAAACCAGAAAAAAAAATAAAGTGTCATAAATGCTATAATTTAGGTTGGAACAGAGACCCGTGGGAATGCCATCAGGACTTTTAAAAGAAACTTTTCTATTAAACCATATCTTTTGAATATTTGAATCTCCAGTAGCACCTAGCAAGTACCTTGCTCAAAGGTGGCATTCAAATATCTAAGGGAATGACAAAGAATTCAGCTCCTTGTTGTAAAATGACCTAGATGAGGTAGACATAAAAAATTAGAGATAAGTAAAGAATAACAAGGCCTGTACCATTTCCCTAAAAGGTAAAAAGAAGTTCAGTTTGGCCAGACACACCTTTATTACATAAATATCTAGTGAAATACCAGCAATATGTCTTTTTCTGTGCTTCAGAAAAAGGTGTTTTTGGTACTTCAAAAATGACTTCCCATGGGAGAAAGTTTTTCTTGAGAGATAATAGAGGGAAAATTGTTTCCTTTTGAGTCAGTTCAGTTCAGTTTAGTCACTCAGTCGTGTCCACCTGTTTGCGACCCCATGAATCGCAGCACGCCAGGCCTCCCTGTCCATCACCAAAACTGCCAGAGTTTACCCAAACTCACGTCCATCGAGTCCATGATGCCATCCAGCCGTCTCATTCTCTGTTGTCCCCTTCTCCTCCTGCCCCCAATCCCTCCTAGCATCAGTAGGCAAACAAAAAAAATCTTAAAAAAAAAGAAAAGGACACATGACCATTTCAGAAGGAGCTCCGTTTTAGAAAGTAAGGGGTGGAAAGTCACTAGATGTTCATACCTGCTTGTACTTAATTCATGCAGGAATGAGGAGTTTTTTGTCAGCACAACATATTTCACCACTGAAAACCCATTACAAGATTCATTTTCCTAATTAATTCATTTCCTAGTGTAGACAGAAACTTAAGCTAGACGAAGCTCTAGCACCAAAGGCCCTTTAGGAATCTGACCTTTTTATTTAAAGGTAGTGGTCACCTGATTGGAAGAACTGACTCATTGGAAAAGACCCTGATGCTGGGAAAGATTGAAGGCAGGAGGAAAAGGGGATGGCATCACTGACTCGATGGACATGAGTTTGAGCAAGCTCCAGGAGTTGGTGAAAGACAGGGAAGCCTGGCGTGCTGTAGTCCATTGGGTCGCAAAGAGTCGGACATGACTGAGGCACGGAACTGAACTGGAACTGAACTGGAACTGAACTGACCACGCTTGGAATGTGAATTCTTGATTAGTGCAAAGTGAGGCTTAAATCTAACCACAGCACATCTTCATTCTTCTATGAATGCTGCTCTATTTTAAATCAAATTACAGGCACCATCCATGAACTTTCTCAAAATTATACTAGTCTTACCGCACTGGTAGTTTGGCTTTAATCTCAGGGATTAAACTGAACCCTGGCACTCACTGAGAGACCCTGGTCAAATCACATCGCTCTTCTGGATCCGTTTTCCCTCTGAAAATGAGGGCACTTGGTTATGTCTCTCCTGCTCTTTACATCCTAATCAGGAGTCAGCTCATGGATTTGAGTCCGTGTTTGAGATGCCATAGAAGAAACCATACATGTATATGTAGAAACACTAGCTTTAATTTGTGTTAGGGTCAAATTATTAATAGCTTACACCGTAAATATTATCCTCTTCGAATGATCACATATTAACTTATGAGAAGTATGTTTCAGATTACATTAAAAAAATCTTTTAAGCGTTCTACGTTTTAAAGGATTCTGTAAGTATTAGTGATACTATAATATGGAGTAGGTTATAGAAGGTTAAAAAAAAAAAGTCCACAAAATGAACTTACTAACCGCTGAAGGGGATCACCTCTTCAGCTCTCGGACCTACTAACTCTACCTCTCTCCTCTTAGGTTGGTTTCAGAGCGGACGGCGCTCTGTTCAGTCTTAAGACGCCACAAACCTAATTTATGTTCCCAGTAGCAGTCACCATATTTCCTCACGTTTCCCATTTGGTCATTAAAACCCCAAATGGAAAATTCCCTTGAATGATCCTTTAAACTCCAAGCATCTCTAGGGACGGTCCAGGTACCGCCCCAGAGCGCTCTCCTCGCTCAAAAAGAAGTCCGGGAGCTGTGGAGCCTCCGACACGGCGCGGCGCGCACCTGAGAGGCTGGCGCCTCCGTCTCACCGTCCTCGGCCCGGCCGTGGGCAGCCCAGGGACCGGCGGGCGGAACGAGCGCCCCGGCCGCCCAGCCAGCACCTTGCGTCGCGCGTGGGCGTGTTTGGCTTCGGAAATCCCGGGTCGTCTCAGGCGCCCCGTCCTTCCCCGGGAAACAATCGCCGGTCCAGCGCGGAGTTCCCCGCCGCTCGACTCCAGGCGGCTCCCTGGGTTCCCCCAGTCCCTTCCGCGTCCTTCCCGGCGTCTCGGCCGCGCGCCCAGGTGTCCCCGCGCCCCGCGCTGCCCCGCGTCCGGGCCTCCAGGCTCTCCAGCGCTGGGGTCCGCGCTCCCGCCGCGGGTCCAGCCTCTCCTCCCGCCCGGCTCCGCCCAGCCTCCGCCGCGCCGGGGCTCCCGGCCCGGCCTCCCAGTCTCNCCCCCCCCCCAATGGATGCTGGAGTCGAGTTATGAATGAAAAGTTTGTACTGCCAACGTGTTGCTTGAGGGGAGCAACGTTTAGTGGGGGTACCTTTGACGTTTCATGGGGGACCTCAGTTCCAAGTCCTTACGTCTGTATTCTGTGTTTAAGAAAAGTTCTGGAGCCTGGGCCATGGGAGATAAAGCTGTTGCTTGCCTAGTGGAAGGAGAGTGATGAATCGTAAACTTCCTGAGGTAAACTGGTTAATTAAAGGCCACCTGAGGGTGTCACAGCGGGACCTGAGGGAGGCGGCGAGGGACGGGGGCGTTCCCCGAGAGCCGAGCGGGCGGCGGTGGTCTGGCTTGGGAGGTTGCCCCCTGGTCTGCAGTGAGCGGGCCGGGGTCGGAGGCCTGAGCGCGGGCACCAGAGCGGGACGGGGGAGAGGTGAGGGGCTGCGGGAGCCGAGGACGCGGTTCCTGGGCTGTGGACTGCAGATTCCGCAGAGTCTCCGTGCTCCGATTTCCGGAAGATCTCTCGTGTTTGTTTCCCCTGCCCGGGAGGTGTGTATCACCTCCTGAAAGGAACTTTTAGATTAAGTAACTAACATTTTGAAATCTGTGGGAAATGAAATATTTACACAGATCCCATTATATGTCTGTGTTGTGTGTAGTAATAATGCATGTGTGTATGTAAAATGTGAGAGTGAGGTAAAAAGGGCTTTAAAAGTTTAACTGGAAAAGAAAATGAAGAGTTAATTTTTTTTTCTCCCCAAGTGGCATAACAGTGCTTATTCAACAAATATTCTTGGTGTGCTGAGATTTATCATAAAGGTAAGATTTAGGAATTACAGGTATTTGGAGTACAATTATGTTTTCAAATCTGGCAGTTATTGACATCTAGGAAAAGGGAATAAGTACATAGAGAATCTATATTAAAGAAAAATAAATTATTTGGAAAGAAAATCCTTAGACATCTGAAAAGGTCTGGATGTTATTTTCTGATGTTCTAGAAATCTTTTAAATCCCGTAATTAATAACAGCTCAGAATAAGTTGCAGTTGGTAAATGAGGACAATTAAAATTATCATGTTTGGAAGGGATATCTTTTGAACTACTCTTTGGTACTTTGGATGTTTATTATGGAAATTATTGTGATATTTGCTTTTTACCACAGATAATTAGTCCTTCTTTTCCTTTTAAACCACTGTTCCAGTTTGGATCAATTTAATTACTCAAACATCAAATCACTGACATGCCTTCTGGAAAGCATTTGTTTTTGTTTTTTTGGAAGGCATTTGTATTTAAAATGTTTAATGAGAATATTATATTTTCAAAAGGACAATAATTTTTTCAGTTGTAAAGCTTTCTTGTAATTTATTTTCATCCATTTTGTTTGAATGAGGCAAATCTCAAGAAGAGAAGCATTTTCTTGGGATATGTTATTTTCTGTGTGGGGAAAAATTGAGTGTTTTCGTGTGTGTTTCAGTCTCAAACAGGTGCATATAGAGTAGGAATCCTGAATCTGACTTTTGATATCAGCCTGCCAGCTAGAGGGAGAGATGCTTTCCCCTTTCTCTTTCTGAATCGGTCATCTCTGCTACAGATTGGACACCATTAGATACATATATGGTTGTGCAGAAGGAAGTTTAGAGTTTTAAGTTAAGTACCAGTTTAAGGTTAGGAGGGAGGTGGGCTTTTTGCTTCTCTTTTTTTCCTTCAGTCTTCCTGTTTCTCTCCTTCTGCAATTGATTCAGCCTATTGGTCTGGTCTTTATTGGAAAATCAGACCAAATACTCTGGCTGGAGAGCGGCGTATTAAACTGCTATCTTCTGTAAAAAATAAGAAAGGCTCTTCCGAAATTAAAAAGGTTATTTATTTTATAAATCGTCGCAGACTGTTGCAGTTATTTTGTGCTCATTATTATAGTAGACAGAGTTGCTTTATGAAGTTACTGGCACTATCTGTAAATACTTATTGTGTATATTTGGCATGTATTCGGATAATATTTGGGTTTTAAGGAGTTTTAAATCATGAAGGTAACTGACCAGATAACCTTTTTAATTAACTAGTTTAAATGATACACATAGTTCACATTTATATTAATCTCTGTTGAAGGTGGTTTTAGGGTTGCAAAGTTTTCATTTCTTTTTATTAGCATTACTTCTATTTTGAATTTGTTTAAATATTACAGCATATTATATTGTAATTTATACTTGCTCAGTGGGGAAGGTGTAGGTTATTCTTAAATAGCGATACGGAGAAGTAGCTAACAAGGAGAGTCATTTGAGAAGCATATGGACATCATAAAATCCTTCTGTATGTAGCATCTGTACCTTCTCATTAGTGAAATATTGTAGTCATGGACATTTTTTGTTATTACATCCAAATATGGCTTTTTATTTTTGCTTCCATAGAATGTTTTAAAAATGTAATTTATATGAGTATTTAAGTTAGTGGGAGCTTTTATTGTTTGAAGCCCTTTCCTTTCAACAAAGACATCATACTTAATTTTTATCCCACGTATCCACAGATACATACTGTTGTTTCCTAGCTTGTGGTTATAACTCTTACCTTTTCTGGTGATTCTTCAAAACATTTGAGAGATAGGTGGGAAGATACATTGTTCTCATTTTCAGAAGGAGGCAGCAGGTACACTGATAGACCCAAGGTCACACACCAGTGAATCAGTGTGAAAGGATAACATCTATATTTCCTGTATCCTGTTCACAATGGCAAGCTGCTCCCATGGCTATGTTATGACATTTCCATAAATTAAACTTTCCTAGATGTTTACATCAACCTGCTTTTTTTTGGTTTTGGCTCCACCTCAGGGCATACTGAACTTAGAAGACCAGGGATCAAACTTGCACCCCCCTGCAGTGGAAGTGTGGAGTCTTAACCACTAGACTGCCAGGGAAGCCCCAAACTTTCCTGGATGTTTAAAATGCTGAACTTGGTAGATGTGCAGGTAGGTTTTATGCCAGTCAGTATAGTCCTAAGTGACTGGGCCCTTACTGTTGCCTGCTGGTTGGAGAGAACCATGACTCTAGTAACTGGTTTTAAATCAGTTATATCCACCTCTGAGGGGTATCCACTCTTCCAGTCAGTCCATATCCCACACATCCCTTTGCCCCCTTAGCAACTGCCTGCTGCCCTTTTATTGGTCAGAGCTGCTTTGAAGTTTATCAGCATAGTTGTTAAGCTTGAGGATCATCAGGCTCACTGGTGAGAGAACTCAGAATGTGATTTTTGAAGAGTATTGACAGAGAACAATGATGGAAGTCCACTATATAAGCAGCCAGTATCAATTAAGGTACATGTTGTTTGGGGTGTTAGGACATCCACTTTCTTATATTAGCTCTGCTTCTTTAGATAGAGAGTTTATGCAGTTATCTAGTCATTTCTTTCGGTATAGACCTCTTGTCTTGATAAACCAGACTTTAACAAAAAGAAAAAGGATGGCAATTTGTTCTTCTGTAGGGACGGTATTAATACTTTTATGACTTTTTCTTCATGCTCCCAGATAACCTCTCCTTCAAATTTCACCAGAATTTTTGGGAGTAATTGCCCACATGATTTGTGAGAGCCAAGGTGACAGACTTTTGATATCAAATTATTAGATTTAAAAGTGGAATACATTATTAGGATGCAGAAGAAATCTTTGCAATTTCATAGAAAGTAGTATCGATAATATGTAATCTTACACAAGCTCTCATGTATTTGATGAAAGTACTTCCAGTATTTTAGAATAAGCAGATGGCAGGAACTCTCTACTCTATTAGGTTAATGTGTGTGTGTGTGTGTGTATACACATAAAATTGTTCTTTCCCCTAAATGTATGTTTTATGAGAGCTCATTAAAATCATTTTTAAATGTGAAATATTGAAAAAGAAGTGACTATTCAAGGGTGACTTACTGTTTACTATAATGAATTCTGTTTAGAACACCCAAAGAAGAAAACTCCCATTCTTTATATTCTTTGCTGCACCAGAGAGAGTATAGACTGCTGGTGAGATTGAGAAAAGTCGAGGTTACTGGAAATGATACGTTCTTCGCATTTCTACAGAATCTGTGATAAGAAGATGGGTGTAGACTAGTCTAGTTTGAATGGAATAGTGATGAGTGGAATTTGAATTGGCCACCTGAAGAAGAATAAGATTCGGATCACTCAAATATCACTGAAGATATTTGGTAGCAAATCATCAAAATTAACTTTAGTTACTTTAGGTATTACATAAACTTAGTAGACGTTATTGACTCAGTTTATTTTCTGTTTCTTTGCAACACATTACTACGAATGAAGCAGCTTAAAAAACGCATACTTACTATCTCAGTTTCATTGTTCCGGAGTTCACACGCGGCTCAACTGGATCCTCTGTTCAGGGCTCTGACCAGGTGTCCATCCCTGCTGCTGTGTTATCAGAGATTCACTGGGGAAAGACCTGCTTCCAGGCTTTCTTAGGTTGTTGGTAAAATTCATCTTCTGTGGTTGTAGGACTGAGGTCTCCATTTTCCTGTTGGGTGTCAGAGACCACGCACAGCTCCTAGAGCCTGCCTGCTGTTCTTTGCCGTGTGACCCTCTCACAGGCATGAGTGACCCTCTTACAGCATGGAATCTGCTATTCAAAGCCAATTAAAGTCTTTTGCTCCCATATGCTATAACATATATGAGTAACGTGACATCACCTTTTCATATAACAATCTAATCAAGAGTGACATCCATCACCTTTGCCATCTTTTATTTCTTAGAAGCAAGTCATGTGTTCTACCCAAACTTAAGGGGAGGGAACTATACAAGGACATGACTCATTGGAGGTTACCTTAGCATATCTCCACCACATTGACTAGTTCACAGAATCTTTGGGCTAGACAGCAGACCTGGCTTAGAAGCCACTTAGTCAGAAAGGTGCTCAGAATCACTCTGAAGAACTGATTCCATCACTGTTGGCACACCAACTTCTAGAGGGGAATGTGGACTCTTTCTTAAGAGAGGATACGCCATATACTAATAGTGGGGTTCAGTTGTTCATGGCCAGAAAGAATGATGTATTCACTGCTAAGAAAGGAAGGAGAAATATGAGCAAATGATTGTTTAATGAAATGTTGAAGTTTTTGACCAAGGTAGGCATGATGACCATCTGGAGATGGGATTGAACTGTAGAGTAGCTAGAGCTATGCAACTCTTTAGAAAGAAAACTCTTTTGGGATTTAGGAGAATGGTGGTGGTGAGGCCTCATTTAGGAATGGTGGTTATAA